GCCAGCGAGCAGCTCCAGTTCCGATGGTATCATTAGCAGTCTACAGAATGTATATCCTCTTGTGTTGTCAGCCAGGTCCCCTTGTCACTCCACAGCGCCCTGCTTCTCTCTGGACCGTATTGATCTATTTTAAATGTCTTTATTTAAATATGTCTATTGTGAAGCATAAGCTAAAGTAAAACAGAGATAGCACAGGACTGTTGCATCTCTGGGTCACAGCTATATATGTTGTATCCACTTTCAATACATTTTTGTATGTCCTTTAAAAAAATGTATCTGGAATAAAATGTGCTGAATTGTATTTTGCTAATACGTTGTTCTGTGTCATTTTATTCATGTTGAAATGTTTATTCTTCAGAAATTATAGCCTAAATTAAAAAAAGACAAGCCAGTCTTCAGTCTCTCAAATTCTAATAAACATTAAAAAAAAAAAAAAAAAAACACACACACACTGAAAAAACAGTGAGCTGTAACTCTAAATCTGATAGCGCAATGATTTTCTCACATAGCAGATCAGACATTATTACTGAGTTTGTTTTACGGCTAATCTAAGTATCTTCTTTAGTTCACCTGCCTCCATCCTGTCTCTGACTGGCCTGATTTTTCTAGCTGGTGACCTCTGTCTGTTTGCAATTCTGCCTGTATATATTTTCCCACTGCCTCGTCGTCCACTCTGATTAAACTCGTTTTGGGTGAGCAGTTTTTGTCTTTGTTACCTGCAATTCTCGCTATACGCCCCAACCGTTCAAGTTTACTAGCCTTCATGATGCCATTAATTGAACAGATTATCCATTCCACTGTTGTTTGTCCCACCTGATTGTATGAGTCTCAATTATTTCTGAGATACTTCACAACAAAATGTAATGATCTGTATTTGGACTGGATCTCGTCTGAAAGCATGTGCTTTAAGATCACTTAGTGGATGTTTACGTATTTATGTACCGAACATCTTTGTGTGGGTTCTAGGGCTCTGTGAAGAGGGGAGGTGGGGGGGGGGGGTAACCTTGTGCTCCCTTCCCCAGCAATCATAACATAAAACGTAACTAATTATGGGTGTTTCGTTGCAAGTGCACCTACCTGAGAGGTAGGGGACACTGTTTCTGGATACGATATGCGGACTAGTTTGCTAGGCACTACTTAGACTGCAGATTCTCCTACAGAAAGACGAACAAGCTGGCACAGATTATACACAGTGCCAGGTCAGAAACTTTTGTTTAACAGAAAACGAACAATTTATTAATATGTACGTTTATTTCCAAATTACATCCCGGAAATATTGCAGCTGCCAGGATATCAAAAAATTGCAACATACACATATATTACAGCAGAAATATTAAAAACACCTATAAATGTTTTTAAGAATATTATTGCTTTGCAAATATAAAAAAACAATTATTTAAATACTGTAATAAAACCTGGATGTCTGCTGTCTTGGTCACATACAGGCAACGCTACTACCAATTTAATAATTAGAAAGGAAAAAAAAAAAACGTAGTTTAAACGTTGTTTAATGAAATAAATTAAATGCTATTACATGAATACAGTAATACACAAAACTTAAATAAGCTTGATTGTACCCCAAGAAAGAGAGAGAGAGAGACAGAGAGTGTGTTTGCTGAGAGAGAGGGGGAGAGAGAAATTGAGAGAGTGAAGATGGACATACACTTGTTCATTTTTGAATACCATTTCTAGATACACAAGTGTCATCTGAACACACGATACCGCCGGGCACTTGCCCAGAGACAACATGCTAACCTGTGTATGTCAAGTGACCTTTTACATTTTATTCCCGTAAGTGGTTGCCGTCGGGGGTCACCAGCACACTGGTTTTTTTAAGGGGCCCCTAATGTTGTTAGGATGGCTCAGAAAGGCGGAGATTGGGGGGGGGGGCGGTTAAGAAAAATCGTTAATGTGCTTAGGGCATCAAAGAATCTTAACCCAGCTCTGTATCTGTCAGTGGCGAGGCATGATCAATTTGCATTTCTAATCGGTTTAGGGAAAAAAAATTAACGAAGCAAATTTGAGGCACAAAATGGTGGTGAGAACCTCCCCTCTTTTATTATATTCCATTTTATTATGTGATTAGTCCGCAAAATATTTCTTCCCATAGACTTTCCAGCACAGAATTACAGTGAGAAGTTCAACCGCCTCCTCATCCCTCCCCCCTTTTCCACCCCTATTTTTTCATTTTTTTTATATCTGGCTGTCAGGCTTAGTTGTTCATAATACGAAGAATGCTGACGCTAAAATACAACATATATTTGAGCACAATTAACAAATAATTAATTATTATACCGTGCAGAATAAACAAGAAACTGGTAATAACCAGTTAACATCTTCCGTTCGTCTGTCAGGCTTAGTACAACACAGCACAAACCATGATTATTTAGAATATTGTGACTGAATGCGCTAGCTGGCAGCAATTACACTAAAGGTGTATTTCATGATATTTTCCTCCTCCTCGATTCGCTGTTGATGAGATAAAAAGTGAGATAAATAGCGCAGACAGTATCCTAGTACAGTCAGTCCTAGCAACTAGTGGCACACTTTACAGTTTCTGTACGAGTGACGGAAGTATGGAGCGAGAAATCCTTTTTGCAATGTTAATATACTCTTGCCAGCTTTTACATTACAGGCTTGGCTTGTAATAGTAAACAGTAATAATACACAATAAAATGATGCATTTTGCTTTTGCCATGCAAAGTGTAAGCGGCAATTACAACCCTGGTCACTGCTATCTCACCCTTATACCTATATATATAGGGCCGGATTTTAACTTGATGAGACTCTAAGATATATAAAGTCATGAGGCTCTACTGTCTCAAGTTACACCAGCTAATAGCAGAAAACGTTACTATATATATATATAAATATATACATGCATATATACGCCTTTTAAGTTTCTACGTCCAGCTTTAAGCTCTGCGGGAAGAACAGTTTGCGATCTATTGCTAGATCGGCAGAAATGGCTATTGTCAATCCATATCCATGTTATGTTGCCCGGCTCTCTAGCGAAGTTGGTTAAACCTGACTTTCGCGGCGGCCGGGTGACGAACTCCTTGTGGTCCGGGTTCACTCCCGGCGGTAGGCAGAAAAGCCACATTTCTCCCAGATTAACGGTACCTATAATGGAATCAATGCCGAAGGGTTGCGATATCCATAGTACCGAGCCAATGGGTTTATAACTCATGGTTTCTGGATACGTTTAAAAAAAAAAAATCCATGTTATGTTACTTGGGCACCCTTGACAGGACGTTGCAGAACCATCCTTAGCATTTTTTGGCTGTTGTGGTTTTTTTAAACAAATGATACGTACAGTAGTTTGTTATAGCCTCTCAACGGCCAGCTCTCGGTACCACTGTCGTAATCAGCGCCAGAAAAACCGTCCGCAGCTGGGATCGAACCCGGCATCCCGGGATTACGATAACGCGTTCGCAACGCCTAAGTCACAGACGCCGACGCCACGTTCACGTTGAAGTTCTTTAATATCATCAGTTCATATACTCGTAAGACGACCTCTTGCTTTCACATCAAATCTCATGTGTACCATTGGTAGTTGTTCTGGCTGCATTCTTACTAAATGACCTAACCATTTGATCTTTTGTTTCTCAAAGAATTTACTACATGGTGTTATTCCCACAGTCTGTTAATAATATCGTTTCTAACTTTGGGATTGTTAAGTTGGCTGCTTTTCTCAGGCACCTTATTTTGCAGGTGTTAATTTTACGTAGGTTATTGTTATGGAGGGAGTCGCCGTGGCAGAGCGGCTAGACGCGCGCCGCGGATCGGAAGGTCGTGGGTTCGCTCCCTGGTGGAGCCGGACTTTTCTTAAAAAATGACCTTGGCTCCCAGGTCGACCCAGCCTTGAGTGGGTACCGGGTGCAATCCCGGGAAATAGAGGCGGCCGGCGTGATGCTGACCACATCACCCATCTTGAGCCGTTGGTCTATAAAAATATAGGTCTAGCCCTATTTGCCCTATACGCTTAAAGGCGTGGAAAGGGTCCTTTACTTTTTTTTTTACTTTATTGTTATGGATAAAGTCCAAGTCTGGCTGGCACTGGTAGCACAGTGTTGGTATGAATATGTTGTTTATAATCTGTTTCTTGGAGCTCATTCTTATGTTGGGTGTCTTGCTAACCATGTTAATTGGTATATGAGTGCACTGGCTGGTTGGTATCTTATTTTATGTTTCCAGATTTATTTTCCCGTCCTCCGAAAATATACTCTAAATATATGGGTAGAGGAAATATTTGTAGTTTAAAGTTTAAGAACTAATAAAGAATGTATCTGCAAAATCACAGAAATAATATGATACAATCATATTAAATGAAAATTGCATTTGTGAACCTAAATATGAATTTGCTGAGGCCCTTGCAGACTGTAAAGCCTAAGTTGTAGGCTTAGTTATATTATGCTAAATCCTGCACTGCCTTATATAATGGTGTATAGAAGATTAAAAAAAAAGAGCTGGGTTCAAAGACAGTGGTTGGTGTCTCTGAGGAGGTCGGGTTTGACTCATCAGTTTCATATTTGTGCCAGGGCATGCAGGCGTGCAAGCAAATAAGCAAGTGGATATGCTTGCAAGTAAAGCAACTCTGGAGGGTGGACGTTCCATGGACCAGGCAGATATTGTGAATGCTCTACGAGAAGTAAGATGGTTTGCGAGAACCAAGTGATGACTGTGAATCGCAACCATGACCAGACTGAAATAACAACATGTGAAAAGGTGTGTGGTCAGGCAAGAGCGCTACCTAAGAAGCAAAAAAAAAAAAAAAAAAAATCAGAAACCAACATAGAACTGGTGTCATCAGCCGCTACACGCAGCAGGATTTACTGAGGAGGGGATCCGAGCATCTATGAACTGAATGGTTTGTTGTGCAGGAGGATAATCTGTCGACTAACTAGACGTCTTAAAAAAAAAAATGAAAATTAAAGGCACATAACACGGAAAGTAACGTTTATGTGAAGGAACAAGCATGCAGCAGACGTCATTTACAATCATTTGCCAAGTGTGTAGTGTGTGATGTCGGTGACACAAGCTTGTTGGATTCTCTCTACTGTGGCTGGTGCATCTGAAAAGTACCAATCAGACAAGGCATCAAACCTGAACTAAACGTGCAATCAGTGCGTATAACTTTCTAAGAAGAGGTGTTCATGCCCAATGCTATTAACTCTAGCTCTGAAAGTGTTTGTTCATGTTCTAACCAAAACGTTAAGTTCATGAGTGTACCTTTTCTATAAATCACTTGGATCGTTGCTAGTGCTAAAGAATTTGTGGTTTTACCAGAGGGCTACCACAGGAGGTCAAACGCTCATCGCAGAGAGATCGAAGAGTGTGGGATTAAATCCGGTGAATGAAAATCCATTTTCACATCTAAACTCATTTTTAAACTTTGGAAACTTTTATTTTTCGCAACTGATGTGGAGAGGGAGGGGGTGCAAGATAGATATGAGCTAGCGGGAAGATTTAAAAAAAAAAAACAACCTAAAAAAAAAAAAAAAACAACAACAGGTAGGTAGACGAGGAACGAAATATGATTAGGATTTTGAGTAGTTCCCCACTGAACTGCAAAAACAGGAAAAGTAAAGAAAAGACAAGTGTTTTTCTGTACAGGCACTATGAAATATTGATCATAGCCCAGGCAGTTATTACGTGAATAATGAGTTAACAACATAATAGGACTAGTCAGGTAACGCGTAAAAGACCACGTGCACGAACTGCTACAAGTCAAATCCTGAATCAAACAAAAGAAACATAATTATCACCTTTAACATTTGTTTATTTTCCTTAACACAAAACTAACGTGCTCAGATAACAATACTTTAATAATCAACAACGTGTTTACACAGACCATGGGCTTAGAACTTCAGCTAACAAAGATGAAAGTTCGCTCCAGTAACCTAAAAAAAAAAAAAAAATCTCCAAGCGATGATCGCCATTGATATCTAGATCCATCACAATATAACTGAAGGGAATTTAGATCTTACAACATTCAACCAATGAAAGTACCACCACCATGAAATCAGTGAGCCAAATCACCGATCTCCGCCCAGTCCCCTCAACGCACGTTCTGCGCTAAAACATTTAAACGGTTACGCTCTCGCCAATGGGTGGGACGACCTGTCCCTATGGCGACTGGTGAGATCAACGACAGACAGAAAAAAAAAATTTTGATTCGATTATTGAGAAACAAAAATTCCAAACTTGCTCATCGAGGGCTTTCTTGCTGTCATATTTGTGTTCCTATCCTTTGTGGTGCGCAGTTACCCCTGATATTTCCTCTTCTTGGATTTCCTTATCTGATGTCGCGTTGAAGGCCTTGTTAGGGTCTGATCCTCTTTTTCTGTCCCTGTGGGGTTTTTGCTGTTAGTTGCTGGTGTTTGGCTTTCTGGTTGTCGCTGCGCTGCGGCCGTTAACACCAGGTGCTGAGTTTCTGCTCTGAAAAGCTCCCCGTTTCGAACCACTGTAAATAATAAGCCAACAACCACAGTGGCTCTATTCAGAAAGAGTTCCGATTTTTAGGCTTGCAAGTTTTTAGTGCAGCCAAACCAAAACTATAAAAGGCTAAACTGCTTTACCACGTTGTTACAGATAGAAAGAAGGGAAGAAAAACAATGTTGATGCACCGAGTCTCAAGGGGTCCGAAGAGTATCCTGGGGAAAAGCTTGTGATTCCTGAGGCAGAAATGCAGTCAGATGTGCAACGTCCATTGACAGAAGGTGATTTGATGACAATCTTCGACCTAAGATGTTTCAGAAGTTTGAAAAATCAGATTCAAAATGAGAACTTATGGTCAAGAAACCAAACTGAACGTGCTCCATTTGCATGGGAAACTGACATAGGAAGATATTGCTCCTATCTTTGTTAAAAACATAATTTAATCTTATATGCACTTTTATAAAAAAAAGTGCATTTAAAATACGAGTAGTACATCTATCAAATAAATACATACACACAGATAACCGTTTACACGGAATACTCACGGAAAGGAAACCAGCCCCCTATCCCAGCATCGGCTCGAGCAGCTTCTATAGCTCGTTTGAGTGCCAACATGGGACATGCACCAACTGCTACAGGTGTCTCTCCCACGGCTGTGGATACAGGTGGACTTGCAGGTAGGATCAACATTCAAGACCAGTCAGGTGTAAAAATATCAACGTACACCACACTGATTATGACAGGATGAACAGTTTACAGGAAGACACGAAATATTAGTGTTCCAGAACAGACACAAGATTTGTGACTCTGGTGATTATGTGAAATAGGGAAAAGTAAATGCCCACATGTATCAGCATGGTACATGGTAACAATTTGTAATGAGTAAATCTCTAATTTGCTAACATGGATATGAGTGAATAGTCCACAGGAGACTTGTGTGTGTGTGAGAGAGAGAGAGAGAGAGAGAGAGAGAGAGAGAGAGAGAGAGAGAGAGAGAGAGAGAGAGAGAGAGAGAGGAGCGACATCTCCAAGTTTGCTTCAGGATCAGACCATTCAGCTGTCCTTAGAAAATAGCTCTATTGAGAGTTCTCGCGTTCTCGGGAATCTTTATTCATTTATTTATTTATTTTTTTTTTGATTATTCCCCCTTCCTTCCCCTTAACAGCACCAAACTCATTGAGGTCCATCTAGAGGAAATGCTAACGTTTGGGGGGGGGGGGGGGGGAAGGGGGAATAGCTTTTTCTGGTCAACTTACTTAAGTGGCGCCTACAACATCTGCCCTAGCTGATATACCCTAGGTACGCCCCTGACTAGATGCTGCCGCATCAATCCGATTGTCTCTTACAGCTGAGTACATAGGATGTTTATAGTTTACTCAATTACTGCTCTGAAGCAACTGACCCTTAGATCCTAGAACTCCTATTGGATTTGGCGCATTCCTCAAGAACTTGACGTTAAACTTGATAGGGATATCTTTTGTCATCGGTGGCTTGTAGGTCTGCGTTGAAGAGGAAATAGTATAGGGATAAATCACTCAATTACATGAGTGAAATAAACTGATTATTACACACAGACGCAAATAGACACATACATATGTTCACCACATCTTTTTTTCCCCTCCCTTTTTTCCCCTTAGGATGTCAACGAAGGCTTACGGTCCGCTTCTTGTTTTTCTGTCTGTCTCGATCATTGAAATTTCGTGCTATTAGAGGGTTTCTCTGATGTTATCTTTCCATAGCTGTCTTTATACAAAATGCTGAATTCTTTCAGTTCTGACTTTTGATTTTCTTATGAACTCATGACCGATTTAGTCTCTTCTGGTCCCAACTGCAGCCCTTCTCAAACATCCTATTTTTTTGTGGTTACTAATCTCCTTGTCTGGTTTGTTGTTAATTATCATGTCTGGCCCTATTAACATGAGGTCGGATATATATATAAAGAAGCATCTCGTTGCTTTCCTTAATGAAATTGCGGCACATACAGAAACCTATTTAATGTAGGACCGAATAATTAGTGAAAAGGCAGATGGCTACAAAACGCATATGTTCAACTAGATATGGCACATTGCTAAAGGAGTAGATGGTATCCAGAAACAGAAGTAGTGTCTCTGTAGAATAAGAGCCACTTGTTCTTGATGTGTAAACTGTGCATATAGTTATAGCATTCTTCTCACTCGCTCGTCAGTTTTTCCTCTTGTGTTTATTACTGCCGAAAATGTTACGGTTGTAAGTTCTCCTCACACAACGATTATGGAAGATAGAGTGGCTGTAGACATATCTAACTTTATATTCAATTGATTTTCAATGTGGGTTTTCATAAATATGTTTTTTTTTTTGTTTTTTTTTGTTTGGCTACCATTGCCCTGACATGTGTCCGTGTCTAGAGAAATGAAAAATGCAGTCTTACAGTCAGACAGTTTACACAGCATGCGGAGATACAACCTGAACACAATACAGCCACGATCACTTACATTTGATCCGTCTGTGAGTACTTGTCCGGACCGTGTATCCAGAGTCATACTCTCCAACAAGAACAAGCCGAGGCCCATGACAAACGCCCCCTCAAGCTGACCTAAGTCCAGCTCAGGATTTAGACTATAAAAACATAACAATACAATTTAAAAGATACGTGGAAATGACATTAATCAAATCCTGTTCGCATTGACTAAAATAAATAAAATTTAAAGTACAACTTTGACTCAGAAAATAGCCGAAATAATTCTTTTATTCCAAGTCACCGACCCTAAATTTATGATAAAATAAAATTTAAAAAACCTAAACACTATACAAATTAAAACAATAACAAAATACAAATAATTATACCAGTGAATGGTTCGCTAGAAGGAATCTAGAATAACAGAATTTTATAATATGGAGCAGAAACAATGCAGTTTTTTCCTGGTGGTATGTGGTCCGCTGTACCGGCATCATTTTTTCAGCATCATTTTTAAGGCGCTGCTATAATAGGTACTTTGTAGAGAGTACTGCCACTTTTGTAAAGACCTGTTTGGTGAGTACTGTCACAGTCTATCTAGAACACACACCCACACCCCACACATCCACACACACACATATACACACACCCACACACAAACACACCCACACCCCAACACACAAACACACACACGCAGCCCCACACCCTGGGCAGACGTATTGCTTACCTGATGCCACAGTCATAGACATAGTCAACCTGAAGGATCTGGTACTGGCCGGTCAGAACGTCCAGCTCGACCTCAGCACAGCAGGCCGTGTAGCAGCTGTAGTGGTCAATTACTTTCTCCGGCCTGCAACGGACAAGATGGACACTTCTATGTGTAGAACAGGACATGACATCATCATCATGGTTATCAATATGTCTCTTGCCGGGCAGCCAGGCATACTCATGTGCCTTTATAATCATTTGTAGCCACGTTATATAGTAGCTAGATACTTACGTGCCGGTTCGAAGGTCTGGTTCAAATCCGCGTTTTTCCACTTTTGAATTCACCTTGGCTTCCTGGTCGACACAGACTATAGGGGGTATCAGGAAATGCCTCGGGAGGTAAAGGTTTCCGGCGTGATGATCGCCGAATCGCCTATTGAATGCTGATTGGTGTCTCAAACTATACTTCTGACACTATATTAGATACTCATAATCATCATCAAGTGCCTTGCCGACGGGCGTGAGCGATCAAGCCTCTCTCCTCAATCCGATGTCTTCAACAGCTTTCATCAGTTCTGTGCCGAAACGTCTCTATGCCATGACAAAAGACCGTCAAGAATCTACTGGTGTTGTCTTCTTCAGTGTCTTTATTTCCCCAGATCTTTCCAGAGGTCACAACATGTTCAAGTTTCCTTCTTTTCACAATATGATCAAAAATGACGACTGCCTCTTTCTGATGATTCTGATGAGTTGTGTTTGAAACCTAGCCTCTTTCAAAACATCTGGGCTGTCTTTTTGTTTTCTGTCCAGGGAATTACAATCATTTTTCTGTCCAGGGAATTACAATCATTTTTCTGTCCAGGGAATTACAATCATTTTTCTGTCCAGGGAATTACAATCATTTTTCTGTCCAGGGAATTACAATCATTTTTCTGTCCAGGGAATTACAATCATTTTTCTGTCCAGGGAATTACAATCAGTTTTCTGTCCAGGGAATTACAATCATTTTTCTGTAAAATCGCATCTCAGAGACCTCAAGAAATTATTTGACTGATCAATTGTCCAGGAATCACTACCACATGTTACAACTGGCTCTGTATAGCCTGAACTAATTCCTTTTCTAACACCTTTAGCCTGTCTGCCTATTCCGTTCTTTATCTTTGTGATACACTTTTGTTTTAGCATGTTATCCATGTGAGTATGTCAAATCCTAATGTGGCGTTCAAGTTGTACTTGACCTTTTTTGGGGTAACTTTCACGGTTATTATCCTTATCATGTGTCATGCTAACAAGAGTGAGCTACCTCACAGAATCAGCACTCATGGATCAGGTCTGTGTTCTTTATGTTATGTTATGTTATGCGGTCGAGCCGGTCAGCAGCGTATTACTGAGTAGTTCCCATTTTTCAAAGAAGAAGTACACCAGTCCACAATATTATTCAAAGTTTAATTTTATTCATAACATTTTAGTATGAAGATATCGTCATCTATACAGGTGTATCAGTAATTCACAAGGGGGGGGGGGTGTGTCTGGTGGGCATACAGAGCGCAGGTGAATGGGGAGACAGTAAAATAAGGAAATCAGGCATCTAGTAAAACTATTCTTGTATGATGATGGAAACAGCAGCCGCCACAGGGGCACTTGCATAACTGGCAGAACTGGCAGTAACTCAAGCATTGATGATGACAGATTCAGCGAGTCTGCTTTAGATAATCTGAAATGGAAAACTCCGACCAAAATTGGTTAACAGCATCCAGAAGTCCCGCCTCAAGAAACTATTTTGCCTGCACACAACAGGACGTGCCAGGGTGAAAGGAAATGAAAGAGCAGACAGACTTATCATGTCTGTAGTGGTTGATGGAGGAAAAAGAAAGGGCATAACAGACAGACAGATTACACTGTATTCGATAAACTTTTAGACAAAGGAGTCACAGACAATGAACCGTCTCTGGAAATGGGTACTGAACGAAGACAAACAAGCAGAAAATCTGAGATGTGCTAATCAACTGCAGCTAGGTACCTTGGCATTAGAGACACTGTAATTACTAATGCACGCGAGGCTGGCGTAGACTGAATCGGAGCGATGTGCCAGGATATTGATACGGACAGGAAGTGACAAGCTAGTATGGAGAAGTTGAGAGACCATGTTGAGACTGAATTGAGACCATGTTGAGACTATCATTGAAGGATTATACAACTCACCAGTGTTGAGAGACCATGTTGAGACTATCATTGAAGGATTATACAACTCACCAGTGTTGAGAGACCATGTTGAGACTATCATTGAAGGATTATACAACTCACCAGTGTTGAGAGACCATGTTGAGACTATAATTGAAGGATTATACAACATACCAGTGTTGAGAGACCATGTTGAGACTATCATTGAAGGATTATACAACTCACCAGTGTTGAGAGACCATGTTGAGACTTTAATTGAAGGATTATACAACTCACCAGTGTTGAGAGACCATGTTGAGACTATAACTGAAGCGTTATACAACTCACCAGTGTTAGGAGACCATGTTGAGACTATAATTGAAGCGTTATACAACTCACCAATGTTGGGAGACCATGCTGAGACTATCATTGAAGCGTTATACAACTCACCAATGTTGGGAGACCAGGCTGAGACTAGTAGTGGAGGATTATACAACATACCAATGTTGGGAGGTTAGGTTGACACCCTCAACGAAGCATTTCCCAACAAGTTCCTCCCAGGTTGGGTTGTCGAGCGATGCTTTACATGTGGCCATGCGTGCGTTGAGAACATCACAACAGTTGATCACTGCCTGCAACGACGGATCAGAATCATTAGTGTTTGTTTTAATTGAGACGACTGGTGACAGACAATGGTCCAGTTCGCCACTGGGTTTAAAGGGATCCTCTACGTTGACTAATGTGGCAGCTCATTTAGTGCCCATCACATAGTTTGCATCTATGCTACACTGTTTAGTAGCAGTAGTTCTTACCTTTGTGCCTCGCAGTCTATTCTTCCATTCCATTCTATCCTGTCAATTTGTTTCCATATCATGTGTGGAATCAGTCCAGCTCTTTTGGTCTCTCTCACCAACGTTTGTCTTTGGGTTTCTTTTGCATGTCCTCGACCCTAAACCACTTTCTTGATCATTTCAGTGTCTGGTTGGTGATTCTTTGTTGGCTTCTCCCCCAGAATGTACCCGATATGACCACGATTTATATAAAGTAAATAAGGCACTTTAAAACACATAGAACTGTATTTTTAGGGAGATCTGATAGTTTGACAGACAAAGAATGAAATGGTTGGGTCATTTAGTGAGAATACAGCCATAACAATTGCATTTTGAGACTTTTTTTTTTTTAAACAGCAGAACATCTGGGAGGAGGGTGAGATGAAGACCACAAAAGAGGCTGATAAATGGTGCAGCAGAAACCTGCAAAAAAGACGAACAAATCCATGACCCAAGCACAAGACAAACACAAAACTATAACACAGGGCTACAACTTGGTATCAGTGAGACGAAAAAAGAAGTAGATGAAAAGAACATTATTTTTAACGGAACTGAAGATTTCCTTGTGTCGGCGTAGCTGGCGCCCTGGCTTAGCACTGGCAACATGATCTATGGAGTGTCAACCGGGCATTGAACAGTACAAGTATAAAAATATAAGGAATATTTACGTGAAGACGTGGCGATGGAACCTTGACCTTAACATTGCTGAATGTCAAGTATGTTGGTTCCTTGCCTCTCAAGGAAATTCACTCTGACTTCGAAAAAGGAAAAAAAAAAAAAAACGCCCTAATTAGTCGACTGTTATGCCATGTTTGTTGGTAGTAGTGAATTTATACTTAACCAACCCCTCCCCCCCCCCTTTTTCCACCCAATGTTGGCACTAGAACACTCAGGGAGGATGAACAGTTAGTAAAGATTCATTGTCGTGTCAGTAGCCTGTTGGACAAATGACGATAGTCTCAAACTGTTAAGAACAATCGACTCTCATTGAGTCCACAAAACGCCGACCGCATTTACTTCCGATGAGATTACCTAGTACCCTTTTAAGCCATGTCGGCCTGGGAGCCAAGGACAATAGAATGGAGGGCGAGGGTCTAGCCTCTAGGCCACTGCTGCCCTCAACAGTGAACGGTTACAAGCTAACTTACAAGACAAATTATCTCTGAAGTTGAGCCTCCAGTGAACGGTTACAAGCTAACTTACAAGACAAATGATCTCTGAAGTTGTGGAGCCTCCAGTAAACGAGGAGTTAGCGTTCATCAGAGATGAAGATTTGGCCACTCTAATTTTGTCCACGGGGATGCCAAGTTTGTAGGCGCACACCTGTATCGCCTGTAATAAAAACAAAATACTACATTTGAAAAAAAAAACATACAGTGGAACCTCGCTTAACGAGCTAAATTCGTTCTAGAATCATACTCGTTAAGCGAAACACTCGTTATGCGAAACAATTTTACTTATATAAAAAAATGTAAAATACGATAATACGTTCCATGTCGAAAAAAAAAATACTCACAAAATGCTATGTATAACTTTATTTTTTTTTCAAAGAAAATTATCTACATATTGGTAATTAGAGTGAACCATCTTCATCTTTTCTTTAAACGCAGAATGAACACACATGGAATGCGAGTTCGATTTGCAGAAAAAAAAGTCGAAATAATTATGATACATAGCTAATTATTTTTTTTTTTACTAGAAAGATTTCCAGAGATATTTTGTTTTTGCCGACGCTTCAAAATGTGGCGAAAATGCAACAGAATTATCATTAAATAAATTTGCATCGCGCATAGCCACTTCCTTACTAGGGTGATGCTTCTCAATGTAAGATGCGACAGTTTGCCGTGCTTTCAGCATTTCTCTTATTTCGCCAGAAGATTGTTGCTTTTCTGTTACCTCCTCTTCCTCCTCTGACAAACTTTCCTCCAAAATTTCTTGCTATGAAACACAATGCAACTCCATAAGCTCTTCGGTGGTCAGCTCTTGGATGTGCTCTTTCACAAGCTCTTGGATATCTCTGTTATCCACCTACAATCCCACGATAGTGGCCAAAGACACAATTTCGTTGACTACAGGTTCCACAGGTACTGTCTCGAACCCCTCAAAGTCACAAATCGACAACGCTCTCCGGCCAAAGCTTCTTCTAAGCAGAAGTTAGGGTTCTCTTGGTAACCCCATCCCCCGCCTTGTCGATCATCTTGAGGGAGGCAACGATGTGGAAGTGATTTTTCCAAAACTCTTTGAGAGTGAAGTTGGTCCCTTCAGTCACCTGAAAACAATAATCGAAAAGTGCTTTAATGTAGAGCTTCTTAAAGTTAGAAATAACTTGCTGGTCCATGGGCTGGCGTAACGGAGTGGTGTTGGGAGGCAGAAACTGGATCTTGATGAACCTAAATTTTTCAGAGAGGTCATCTTGTAGGAATGGAGGATTCATGTACATACATCACAATATAACTCAAGTTTGAAAAAATGTGTACATATCAAACCGCTCGATTTAACTATCCAGAGCATTTCCTCTTACCCATCGTATGCTGGTATGACACTAAAGACTAAATGGAATTTCAAAAACACTTCTCTGTGTTATGTTCAAACCCGGTATAAATATCCTAACCTGCAAAGTCCGTGGCGACTGCACCAAATCCTCCTGCTGATTATTCAAATATCCTACTTATCACTCATCAAACATTAAGTCCTTTACAGCACGTATCTCTCGTCACGGCATGTCTGAAAGTCTCTTCCTCTAGCTAATTATCTAGCCCTATGTACTTTCATAGCCAATGGATCTTCAATGCCTTGTATCCACTTTAGAGGAGATTGACCTCTGTCCGGTTTACAAGACACTGTACCATCCATCTCGGCTCTCTCCGGGCTATCCTGAAGTTTAACATGGCCAAAATACTTCAGCTTTCAGGATGTTGTTTATGAGCCAGTTTACCTCGATGCTCAGACATATGTCCTACACCGCCCTAAAATGTAGTACTATAACCAGTAAAGAGAGTTTAAAGACAGACCACCAGGCCGGCTGGTGTGCCACCCACTTAGAGCGACATTTATCATGGTTGTGTGGTCACCTTCGTGTTGATTCCCTGGCCCATGTCCACGCCCCCATGAGCGATGACAACACTGGCGTCCCCGTGGTAGATGGTTACCGTCGTGTTGTGTTTGATCTTGGTGTACATCATGGCGTACCTGCTGGGCATCACCTGCAGACCTCGCTTTCTCCACCTGTTGCCCTGTTGAAGACAGGACATAATTTGTTATGTACTGGGCTTTTGTCTCAGTCTGTCTACTTACCTGCCTATTTGTCTTGTATGTAGACAGACAACTAGGCAGGCAAGTAGACAGACAGAGAGGTAGACAGACAGAACAAACGAACGAATGAACGAACGAACTTTATTTTCAAAGGGTCACAAATCAGGCACGCAGGCCCGTCTTACATTCGGCCCCTTCAAACACCCGTCTTTGACACTGCAGCTGTATTTTATCAATAAGCAAGTTATTTTCATATGATGAAAATATGGGGGTGACTGCAGTCAAGTTAATAAAAGGAATTCCAGAGAATTTTGACTAAAAAGCTCAACAAAACGGGGAAGCAGAAAAACGTGCACAAAACAACACAACGTAACGTCTCGGCCGGGCAGACTTTTTTTTAAATATGATAATATGCATATTATGAATATCAAAAAAGAGAGAACAAAAGAAAAAGCACAAAAGCATGAGTGGTAAAATGCATGCACACACACACCCACCCACTCACTTAAACACACCCACATACCTTCACACACACATAAACACACTCCATTCACCCACATACATACCTACATACCCACACAGACACGCACATACACACATACAGATATACACGCACATACACACCCATAAAAACAAATGCAGATACACAAACACAAAAACAGACATACGCGCGCATACCCAATCACACACACAGATACACACACACACAGACACACACATGCGACACACACACACACACCGGCATACACACACACGCAGACACACACAGACACATATGCACAAGCACATGCAGACACAAACACACACAGATACACGCACACAGACACACTCGGAGACACACAAACACACACACACACACACAATCGCAGTCACACACACAAACGGTGATGCTCACGCAGACACATACATGCAACCACAGACACACACACGCAGAAGCATACGCAGACATTCATACTCACAGGCACACGCATAGATACACGCAGACACACACCCACAGACACACAAACGCAAACACACTCGCAGACATACATATATACAGGCACCCTGACACAGACACACACGCAGACACACATACACACACATGTAGACACATCCAGAGACACTACCCACAGACAAACACACACAGACATATACACACAGACAAACACAGAGACGTACACAGATATATACACACAGAGACGCGCATATACACAGGCATTCACACAGACACACATAAACACACAGGTGCCCGTCTCTATAACGTAGCTGGCTAAACCGGATTGCGCGGTGATCGGGTGACGAACTCCTTGTGGTCCGATTTTACTCCCAGGGGTGGGCAGAAAAGCCACATTTCTCCCAGATTTACGGTATTTAAAATGAAATCAAGGCCGAAAGGTTGCGATATCCATAATACCGAGCCTAAGGGTTAACAGCTCCTGGCTTCTGGATACTAAAACAAACAAACAAACAAACAAACACACAGATAGATAGATAGATAGATAGATAGATAGATAGATAGATAGATAGATAGATAGATAGATAGATAGATAGATAGATAGATAGATAGATAGATAGATAGATAGATAGATAGATAGATAGATAGATAGATAGATAGATAGATAGATAGATAGATAGATAGATAGATAGATAGATAGATAGATAGATAGATAGATAGATAGATAGATAGATAGATAGATAGATAGATAGATAGATAGATAGATTAGATAGATAGATAGATAGATAGATAGATAGATAGATAGATAGATAGATAGATAGATAGATAGATAGATAGATAGATAGATAGATAGATAGATTAGATAGATAGATAGATAGATAGATAGATAGATAGATAGATAGATAGATAGATAGATAGATAGATAGATAGATAGATAGATAGATAGATAGATAGATAGATAGATAGATAGATTAGATAGATAGATAGATAGATAGATAGATAGATAGATAGATAGATAGATAGATAGATAGATAGATAGATAGATAGATAGATAGATAGATAGATAGATAGATAGATAGATAGATAGATAGATAGATAGATAGATAGAGAGAGAGAGAGATAGATAGAGAGATGAGATAGATAGAGAGAGATAGAGAGAGAGATAGAGAGAGATAGAGATAGAGAGAGATAGAGAGAGAGATAGATAGAGAGAGAGATAGAGAGAGAGATAGAGAGAGATAGATAGAGAGAGAGATAGATAGATAGAGAGAGATAGATAGATAGATAGATAGATAGATAGATAGATAGATAGATAGATAGATAGATAGATAGATAGATAGATAGATAGATAGATAGATAGATAGATAGATAGATAGATAGATAGATAGATAGATAGATAGATAGATAGATAGATAGATAGATAGATTAGACAGACAGATAGATAGATAGATTAGACAGACAGATAGACAGATAGATAGATAGATAGATAGATAGATAGATAGATAGATAGATAGATAGATAGATAGATAGATAGATAGATAGATAGATAGATAGATAGATAGATAGATAGATAGATAGATAGATAGATAGATAGATAGATAGATAGTGTCACCATCACCAACCTGATTGAACTCTTCAACTAGCTGTTTTCTGCGAGCATAATTGATATCTTTCTCCAGTTGTTCCACAACTTGCGACGCCAGAACGTGTTCCAGAACCACACTATTCAACGTTGTCTGGAAGTCAAAAAGTAAGTAAATGATTATGGGATGGCAGGAGAATGTAGCCGGTCGTTGCTAAAAGTGTCTTCAGGTAACAATAACATCCAACTATATGTCTTCGCTCGTGAGGTGGCGCTAAATATTGCATGCGCATTTGCAACACAGAAAGAAAATTGCAACTGTACTTACGTAATGTACCTTCAAAGAACAATGTTCTGTTGTGCGTTTCGGGGGGGGGGTGGGGGGGGTGGGGGGGGGGAAGGGGCAAAAGGGCTGCCTGCAAAGGACTTTCATAAGCAGATGCTTCCTGTTTATGCTGACACATTTTTATCCAGTGAAGCGGTGCATAGATGGGAAATTGTTTTTTCCCAAGGACGCTCTAAAATTGTTAATGAAGTCCAAACAAGTCATCCTAGTGAGATTGCAACAGACCCATCCGTGCAGTGGGTGAAAGAGAGGATTAGAGGTAACAGGCGAGTAACGGTTGACTCTGTAGCAGCTGCAGTAGTGTGCTCATATGGTTCAGTATATACTGAAAATCCATCTTGGTGGGAGACATTTCGCGAATGACGCAGAAGTTGCTTTCGAAGTAAAAATATGGTTTAGAAAACAGAGCACGCTGTTCTATACGTTGTCGCCTCCTCACTCTCTCTTCACGAACTGCTGAAAAATGTGTCGAGCGCACTTTCTAATCTCTTGCATCATCTCTACCATTACCGTTATCTTCTTAGGGAGTTGTAGTTCTATTGTGGAGCTGGTAGTGGTGTCCTCAATCATTTTGGCCGTTTGGTATGACTTATTCAACGTAGCCACAGCTTCCTACTCTGTCCTTCTGATTCTTGCTGTGCTCATTTTCCCTAGTAAGTATTCTAGAAATTTGCTCATTTTAGACCTTGATAAATCCAAGAAGTTAACTACTCTTTCATTTATCTGGCGACTCATGATTCTAATCGGTTTGACTGAAGCAGCTGTCGTCTTGCTTGCTTTGGATGGAGCGTGCTCTTCATGTACATGTGTCATCTTATTAGCTGTAGGATTCTTGACGGCTGAAAATTTGGTATAGCCAAATGACTTCCTTGGGAGTCGCTGTAGCATATCGGCTAGACGCTCACATGCGGATCGGAAGGTCGTGGGTTAGCTCCCTAGCGGAACCAGACCTTTTTTAAAATTACCTTAACAGTTCCCGCGAAGTAAAGGCAGCCGGCGTTATGCTGACCACATCACCCATCTTATGCCGACTGGTCAATAAAAATATAGGTCTAGACCTGTATGCCCTATAGGCGTGGAAAAGGGACCTTTACTTACATGACTTCCTTGTTACTATAGGATTGTTAGAGGTCGTGGGCTCTGCTACCATAGTATCTCATGGAGTATTCTATGTAGTTTTCAAAGGTTTAGTCGTCTTCAGGCTACCTTGGATATTTCCTCCCCTACCGTAGCAGTAGGTTCAGTCCTGACAACAGCATTCTCTCTAGCACTTGCAGTTAGTTGATGAGCCTCTTCTGTATCCTTGCTTTGTTGTAGCATATACTGATCATGACGCCTGGTCGTTTTCTAAAAAGTTGCCATTTATGTCAGCAATCGCCTTAGTTCTATTATTATGTACTTATTGAGCTATGTAGTACTCACTGTCTGGAGTTGCCTCCGTCAAGTGGATCTGGTACTGCAACAGTTGTTTGTGCAATAGCGAAGGTCGTCACTGGTATAAAGTTTAATTCAAGAGGATCGACGTCATTGCACCGGGTTTTATCCCATACCGCTTGGTCTCTCTCCACAGAACGGTTAGCCACCTGCCGGGAGCGCCACGCAGAGCACGAATCTGTAGCTCCAACGACTATCTACAGGGATCTCCGCAAAAACTGCATTTCATGAACTGAAGGGAGCAGCCGTGAAGCGAACCCGCGACCTTCAGAACACCAGGCAAAAGGCTTGAGTACTTCAGTGGTCACTGATATGTTCTCGATGAAGACTTGTCGTTTTGTATAATGCATGCGAAGCCGTGGCCACCCATTCGTCTGCACCCGATCTCAAACAACATGGTCTTTATATTTGTGATAAATTATCTAGGTGAAAACAAGAGACAAGAAAGCTGCTGACTGACCTGACCATTTTGATACAAATTGATCTTGCGGACATCCATGTGGTCTTTCTTCAGGTATGTAGCCACATGGTCGATCATAGACTCCATGGCAAAGATGGATGCTGCCGAACCTGAACAGACAAACATCAAATCATGTCGGGTTTTATGTTCAATTTAAAAAAAGAAATGTGTTATCATTTGTTTAAAGCAGGAATGATACTTGTTCTTCTGCATTGGCCCTTATAAGAGCTGCCGACTTGTTGTGTTGTGGGTTACAGCTAGGCTGCCATATTATCCTTTTTCGTCCCAACACATCCGATTTCGGAAAACTCGTAATTATGCGCCTTTTACTTGTTAGTGGCAGTGGATTCATTTTATTGCCCCACCCCCCCCCCCCCCCCCTTTTTTTTTTATCGGCTCCCAGCGACAGTTACCACGGAACCCACTAACCTTCTTTCAGCCATACTAAAAAAAGAAAAAAAAATAATTTCGACCGTTTCTTGTATTCTCTTTGTAGGACATCATCATCATCATCATCATTATCACCGCGATCATCATCATGTTCATCATCATCATAATCCCATAACACCACACGTCGTTGGATCACCAGTTGCTTGTTGGTTGCCTGTTCACCTCCCCCATTTTTGTCGGTCAGATGCAGTGTCTTTATCCTTTCCATTTTAAAAAAGTCAAGAAGTCGACCTCGTTCAGCCTGCTGCTGAAAATTACCAGCAGTCTGCGGTTATATTTATGGTCTGGTTTTTGTTTTTAGCCAAGTGTTTAGCTAAGATTGTGGTATGGTGCGATATTGATGGCTTTGGGTCCCTAACCAGATAGATTGTCCACTCTTGCTTGTCTGCTTCCCATTGTGATCCTGTTATCTTCAGTTTTCTTATGGTTTTGCCTGGTGGGTTATCCTCTGTCCGGTTGAGTCAGCTTAATGTTTTTGCACCTGTCTTGTTCCGTCCTATTACTGGTCCCAAATTTGGTCAGACGTATCTAGTAAGAGCCCGAGCCGTCTCAACTCTCTGTTACCTAATGTCCTTACGGACCAGCATTTAATGTTTCAAAATCTGTGATTATTGTCAAAGGGAAGACAAGACGGACGTTTAATCAGAATGCTACTGGCACTATAAGTATCGGAACTCTTCGCTGGCTGCTGAAGATGGGGACGGGCCGCTTATGGGAATGCCCTGAGTGCTGTGATTTAGGTTCTTGAATCAATCAATCAATCCACTGTGATTATTTTATTTTGCCAAAAGTACTCAAACCAGTCTTGGCAAAGACGGTAATGAAGGGTGAGGTTTGTGGAAAGCGAGGCAGGGGTCGACCTCCGCAAAGATGGATACAGGACATTTGAGATGCATTGGCATTGAAAGCACATGGGGAGGGAGAGCTGGCTACGGAAAGACAAACTTCCGTGAGGAGAGCGACGTTCTGTAAATGACTTCCTGAGTTATAAGTAATTAGATGAAATTGTGGACATCAATTCGCGAGGGTTCCTATAGGTGTCTTCCTCTAGGCAGAAGTGGATAAGGCGTATATTAATGATGTGGATGAAATGGTTGATGTAACTTTGCTTTTAGATGCTACTGGTGTAGTTTGGAAAATAATAATAATCTTGTGTCGTAATGCTGTCCGGATGGGATGATCCATACGTGGGGAAAGGATGGGTTAAGTGGTGGCGGGAAGCTGGTGTGTGCGAGTAGCAAACTTCCCGTTTATTGGACTCTCCAAGAACATTTATGTGGAGGGCAAAAAGAGGTGGGGGGGGGGGGGGGGGGAGATCAGTTTGGTGCGCACACCAAACAGCACTTCTTTGCTTGTTGCAATGTATTTGATTAGTGGTCAAATTTGGTACCCAGGCATTTCTTTATCTACTTTTTTATTTTATTTTGGTCTTGCCAGGCGTTTTTTGCAGCAACTTTTGAGAAAAAGTTTAATTACTGTGATATCTGGCTAGGAAAAACGGTTTATTAGGTTTGCACTTTTCTAAGTCAACCTGAAGTGAGATTTTTATTTTTTGAAGTGTAAATTAGACTTTGGTATCCCACTGCAACGCTCTTATCTGAGAAGGACTAAAGTTCGATCCACTACACAAAATAGATGGGAGTGTGCCTACTGATAGAGAAGTCTTTGTGGTCGTGGGTCAAAATATGTGCGTTTCTTCATTGAAACTTTGCCAGGAGTCAGGAAGTTCAAATCCCTATGATTCAGTTATAATATATTTTTGGTTTTTAAACTGTCTAATTGTCTAGTAATCTAGTCTTCTTTATCATTATTCTGTCATTGCGCAGCAGGGCATGATAACTTTATTCCTTATGACAAATACCACAACATTTTAGACACATGAGAGTAATAGAAAGCTTTAGTACCTGGTCCCCGCATGTAGGTGATTGTAGGCTTGTGTGTCTTGCATGGCTGCACACTCCACGACCAGTTGGGACAGAAATAGGCTGTGGAATGATTCAATGAAAATAGTTTGCTGATAAATGTACACTACTTAAAGATATATATTGCTTAACTGAATGAGACATTTTACGTCTTGCGGGGATATAAGTAGGTATCGATTTAAACCTGGAGCATAACTAGCATGCATCAGAAGAACATATTTCTCATAAAAGAAAGCGGGATAGCCATTCTGTTCTTTATCAGCCTTCTCGACTGCTAAAAATACTGTATGGGGTTTTATTGCAAAGGTGATTGGACACTGAAAAAGACAGCCTCACGTATAAGGTCACAACATCCAGTATGAGAATGGGATTGGGGGCAGTAACGGTAGCTTTCGGATGGCTTGAGAACAGCACAGCCTGACATGTAATAAGTGCGACAGACTCAGAGAACAAACTTGGGAAAACCGAAACTGGCGTCCTGCACGTAGAGTTGCTTGCATGGCTTGATAAGACTTACATCAGAAATATCACTGATTGTCTGCCCAGGGAATTCGGGTGTTTCGTGTAATGAACTACTTCATGATAAAACGGACGTGGTTAAGGTTCCGTAGAATCAAATGGGGACAGTGTTATAGAACATACAGACATTTTTTATAATGAAAGATCGAGAAAAGTTATGTGATATACTCTCATTCTAAACCCATTATGAAGTTTAATAAACATTTACGTAACAGTTGAGATATAATAACATATAACTGACCATACATAAGATGCAATTTTTAACTTAAATGATTTCATGCGTGTGGGGTTTACTTCAAATAAATGAGTCTAAACAATTTCCAATAGTAATGTTTTCTGACTTAACAATGGAGGGTGGCTTTCTCTGCAATCTTTGGCAGCTGAAAATGCTGACGCCACATTTTGTCCACTGTCTGATTCTTGTAACGCTGTCCAAAAGCAAAGAGAACTGTCTGATTCTAAAGTGTCCTGCCACAAGAGTCCAACGCCGGTAATTCCAGGATTTAAACGCAAACCTATTCCCTAACCTGAAAGCAAGACAGCTAAGCTTCAGTTGGGATAGAGTGGATAAGGAACTAGAAAGGATTCAGGGATTTAAAAAAAAAAAGGTTCAAACCTGCAGAGTTACAGAACAGCAAGGTGAGTTGTTTGATAGAAAATAAACTCACTTTGAACAAAAATGCCAAAAAAAAAAACTGTCTTTACTGCATATAGTCCCACTTGTTAGGCTGGTGTAGGACAGAAAAGGGATGGTTCCTTGAGACTGAGAACCAAGGGCCACTTGGCTGGTACAGTCGCTATCAACTGTGCAGATAAGGATGTTTATTTTTGCCCACGAAAAACAAAAACAAAAAACACTGGACTGGAACCAGAGTCTTCGGTATAAAAGACCGGCTTTCCAACCAATCGGCCAGACCTGATTAATTATTGTGGACCATTCTGTGTTGACCAAAGTCTGCAATATATTAAGAATGTCAAAACAGTGAAAACATAAACAATAAGCAGACGACTGAACTCACTACTGTCCACATAGTCAAAGGTGTGCTCATCACACTCAGGCTGGAACTCTGCCCCGCTGTCACTGTAGGCGGTGGCAACGATGGCCAGGAGTTTACCATCGTCATCAAATGTGATGCATTCATTTAGAAAAGGAGAAGAAGAAGAAGAAGAAGAAGAAGAAGAAGAAGAAGAAGAAGAAGAAGAAGAAGAAGAAGAAGAAGAAGAAGAAGAAGAAGAAGAAGAAGACGAAGAAGAAAAAGATGATGATGATGATGATGATGACGATGGTGATGATCATCATTATATAACAATGGTCGCCACTCTCGGGAGTGTCAGGACCATAAAAAGGAGCTATGCCTATGCGTGCTAGTCCAATACTGTCGTGATTCAACTATTTTAAAGGTGTTCAATATATCGAGGAAGATTTTGACCATCGGTTTAGTCATCGAAGTACTTGATCTGCAGGTTGCTTCCTGCTAACGGTCGAAGTATTTTTTGAGTGAGAAGCCTAAATGATGGTTTTGAGGTTAAGGAGTCATGTGCTGGACGTGAGGATTTCTTGGGTGAGTCCAGGAACAGAGCGTCAAGTATCAGCTGTCCATTAATAGAAACCTTCTTGGACTCTCAGGTTGATGCCTATGTTCTGCCAATGTCTTCCCCTGACAGCCGACCAGTCTACGAGCAGTTGCCTTGGACGAACTCTCTAGGGGCACAAGCTGTAAGGGGTGGGGATGGAGGAGGGGGGGGGGGGGGCGTAAAGATGCCACACAAACATGGCAACATCATATTTCCACTAAACAATGGCTAGATAAAATTTGAAGTCTGAGTACATCTGCCCGAAAGGCAAGGGGTAACATATTGATCGCGAAAAAAAAATACCAGTAAATGAATGTACATAGAAAACTCAAGTTTTGACACAAAGCCCAAATTGACGATGAACGATGAATTTCTGCCGCAGTTCAAAGATGTTAACGCAAACGAATGAAGAAAGAAGAAATAGCATCCTCAGAGAAAAGGAGCGAGATAGGGACGCAGGTGACATTAGTGTTCATTGGGCATGAAAATTAGAGCTGCAGAGAGGCTGACCAGGGATATAAGCATCCTGCCAGGAGACGGAAAGAGAACGACGTTTTGCGAAACATATTATATAATGCATTAACTTACTTCATATTCATAATAGTATCCCTGCCTGCAGCCCTGAAACTGCATGTTGGTGTGGAGATCCATGTTTATCTTTACTGGTCTGTAGATAAAGCAAGAATCCTTTGTCATCTTTGAATGATAATAATTTACTTTACATTCATACTTTGTATATTGCAATGAACATAACATGTTTTATATTAGAAAAACAATAGATGTGTGCAAAATTAGTTTTGGGAAACACCGACGGAAGTGCTCAGTTTGCAAGCATTTAAAATGCTTTCCTTTAAAGAAATATCGTTCGTTCATTCGTTCGTTTGTTTGTTCTGATACTAATCCTTCCATTGCGAATTAGGTCACTGATCCAGGATCTTACCCCCGTATAGTAAGATGTTCTGTTTTGTTTTCTTTTTTTCCAAAAGTACGTGTCTGAGATTATTTCGGTTTTATTGAGTGTCAACCCTTTACGAAAGCAAAAAGATGGGTTGATGACGTTAAAGACATTGTACATTCACACGGAAAGTCAATAGGAAGTGCTGCCCTCTAGTGCTGGGCCACAGCTATTCCTCTCCGCGGCACTAAAGACAAAAGACAGAACTGTAAGATACATACAGGGACTGATGAATCATTATAAAACAGCATAAGGCAATCCCGACAAACACAAAGAATCATCTCATACCGAGGATATTCAAGCCCATCCTAAGCTACTAGTGCCAGGAAACGCAAATCAATAATCATAAAAATGAAATGTATGAGAAGGGCTGCAGGAGTGACCTGAAGAAATGCAAATCAGGAATGGGGTTATTAACGGAAAGGTCGAGCACAGAATGAATTGTAAATTACACACAACGAAAGCATATCGAATGGCTACCTGTTCTTCCCTGTGACGACCAATCAACGTCATCTGGGCGTTAAATCTGAGTGATGTGTAATGTGGAAGAATGGTAACAACGTACTGTGTTTACTTGCTGTCTAACCTATGTTTCCTTTGTGTCCTTAGGATGTGAGAGACCTGATAACCTGACAGTACTGGCTTCGTTTGGAGTTACATCAGGATCATAGTCAAACTGGTCCAACAGGGTGCTTCTAACACCCAGCCTACCAGCCACCAGGTACCTCATTTTACTTTTTTCGTGACCTGATCAACCCCTTGGAAAGTGACATAAAGGGTCACTCTAACTAGAAGACAGCGGTTGCTACATCTTCATCATCATCTGGAGCTTCCACACCAAGGTGACCACTACCGACCTCGACCAGCCGTTGCCAACACTGTGCCATATCCAGTGACCTTATAAAGTATGTCGTCAACACCAAGTCTGGGTATACTTAGGTCTGTCTGCAATTATAACAGTCCGACTTTGTGTTTAAAGATCTCCAGAGATCTAGAGGGCACCTCACCCCGTGAAATGTTATCTCATTAGTTTAGCGCCAGTTTCAACAGAGAGGCAGAGACCGACAGATGGACTGAGGAGAGGAGCCTGTCAACTACTGTTCTCCCATTCCAGATGAGTAATTCTTTGGTAAAACTGAGCGTACAGCCTTCTTAACACCGAGTGCTACAAGTTCATCATTACCCTATGATATCATCAGTTTTGTGATGATTTATAACAGTGATCTATGGCATTCAGGAGTAGTTCATGACCATTTGAGACATTATTTGTATTTGTGTCAGTTGTCAGTCCTGGACTGAAGAAAAACACTGAAGCTTTTGTATTAAAATGTTATGAAAACATTCTCAGAATACTAGAAACACATCTACACGAGTTAAACATCCAGGAGAATTGGCTCATTAACAGTGTCCTGTTAGGAAAATTGAAGTATTTTGGCCACATCAGACGTCACGGTGGCTTGGAAAAGACGGTGATGGAGAGTGCAATTTGTAAAAGCGAGGTAGGTGTCGACCTCCGCGAAGATGGATACAGGACATCGAAGATGCATTGGCATTGAAAGCACATGGTACTGGAGAGCTAGCTAAGGAAAGTGTTACTTTCAGGCGTACTGATAAGAGAGCGACGTTCCGTAAAGGACTTGCTGATTGATGGTGATTTGTGTCTTACTTTTCTATAAGCCATTCAGCTTTGTCACTCACCTGAGATTTTCTACATTGTTATGAACATATTACATACTGCATCGTTATCTTGAAAGTTACTTTGTTTGTGTTTTAAATTTCACAGCTCATATTAGTTAGGTCTTTGTGTGGTTTTGTTTTCAGAGTTCTTCTGTACTGAGTTTTTTTACTGTGATAGTAATGCTAGTGATGAGGAAGTCTGACCAAGTTCTGCCCAGGAATATCTGTGGAAAGTATGTGGTGACAAAAACTTGAGTTACTTTATCCTGGAGTGGTGTTAAAAGGTTTTTGGAGCTGAGGAGTACTGTCTAGATCAATACGAGCCACCATCACTACATTGTACCATTCCAGAGTGTCTTATATAACTAATGGGGACCCTAATTGAAACACTTGACAAAACCGTCTTGTGCACATACGTTCAATAATCATATAAGTTACAATATTTGATTGCGTTAAGCTCTACAGAAGTGCCCAAAGCATGAAACCTGAGGTGTGTGACACAGACATATATCATTTTACACTGTTTTTGTCAGGTTATTTTACATAGCGTTTATTCCTTTGTTGTTGTTAAAGTACTGTACCATAACTTTTAAGTTACGTGTTTAATTAACAGTACCAAAATTCAGACCACATGTATATATATATATATATATATATATATATATATATATATATATATATATATATATATATATATATGTATATGTAACACGTGATAGCTACAAAGAGATGATTGACCTTACCGTCCAACTTTGTGAGCAGACACTGCCGTCATGGCTGCCACGGGTAAGTTATAGAGGATTTTACTCCCCCAACCTCCTGCACCTCAACTGTTGACATCCTACTGACGGCTACATACAAACAAATAATGATGGCTCATAAGCATTACAGATGTCTCAATAATGATGGGCTACATAAGTGACACTGTCAGAGTCACAATAATGATGGCTACATTAGTGGCTACATAAAGTGAGGATACACTGTCAGAGTCAACAAAATGAAATAAGTGATGGCTGTTCACAATACATGAGGACATAAGTGAGATACCTGTTCACATACAATAATGATGGCACATAAGAGTCACTGTCAGGAGTCATACAATGATGGCTACATGGAGTCATACAATATGAGGCTACAATAAGTGAGGATAACACTGTCAGGAGTCATCATACAATAAGTGAGGATGGCTTGTCAGGAGTCATAATAATGTGAGGATACACTGTCAGGAGGTCATACAATAATGATGGCTACATAAGTGAGGATACACAATATAGGATGGCTACAGGAGTCATACAATAATGATGGCTACATAAGTGAGGATGCGCTGTCAGGAGTCATTCAATAATGATGGCTACATAAGTGAGGATACACTGTCAGGAGTCATTCAATAATGATGGCTACATAAGTGAGGATACACTGTCAGGAGTCATACAATAATGATGGCTACATAAGTGAGGATACTGTCAGGAGTGTCTGATCAGGAGGATACACTGGTCAGTCAATATGAGGCTATTCAATAATGATGGCTACATAAGTGAGGATGCGCTGTCAGGAGTCATACAATAATGATGGCTACATAAGTGAGGATACACTGTCAGGAGTCATACAATAATGATGGCTACATAAGTGAGGATGCGCTGTCAGGAGTCATTCAATAATGATGGCTACATAAGTGAGGATGCGCTGTCAGGAGTCATTCAATAATGATGGCTACATAAGTGAGGATACACTGTCAGGAGTCATACAATAATGATGGCTACATAAGTGAGGATACACTGTCAGGAGTCATTCAATAATGATGGCTACATAAGTGAGGATGCGCTGTCAGGAGTCATACAATAATGATGGCTACATAAGTGAGGATACACTGTCAGGAGTCATACAATAATGATGGCTACATAAGTGAGGATTGCGCGTGTCAGTGAGGACTACATAAGTGAGGATGCGCTGTGTCAGAGTCATTCAATAATGATGGCTACATAAGTGAGGATGCGCTGTCAGGAGTCATACAATATAATGACATGTGCTACATAAGTGAGGAGGACACTGTCAGGAGTCATACATAATGATGGCAACATAATTGATGGCTCACATAATGATGGATACATATGAGTGAGGATACACTGTCAGGAGTCATTCAATAATGATGGCTACATAAGTGAGGATACACTGTCAGGAGTCATACAATAATGATGGCTACATAAGTGAGGGATGCGCTGTCCAGGAGTCATTCAATAATGATGGCTACATAAGTGAGGATGTCGCTGTCAGGAGTCATTCAATAATGATGGCACATAAGTGAGGATACACTGTCAGGAGTCATACAATAATGATGGCTACATAAGTGAGGATTGCATTCAGGAGTCAACATAATGATGCGCTACATAAGAGGATGGCTACATATGGCCTACATAAGTGAGGATACACTGTCAGGAGTCATACAATAATGATGGCTACATAAGTGAGGATACGCTGTCAGGAGTCATACAATAATGATGGCTACATAAGTGAGGATGCGCTGTCAGGAGTCATACAATAATGATGGCTACATAAGTGAGGATGGAGTAATACAATACTTTCGGACATCAGTGAGGATGCACTGTCAGGGTCATTCAATAATGATGGCTAACATAAGTGAGGATACACTGTCAGGAGTCATACAATAATGATGGCTACATAAGTGAGGATACACTGTCAGGAGTCATTACAATAATGATGGCTACATAAGTGAGGATACACTGTCAGGAGTCATTCAATAATGATGGCTACATAAGTGAGGATACACTGTCAGGAGTCATACAATAATGATGGCTACATAAGTGAGGATAACACTGTCAGGAGTCCATACAAATAATGATGGCTACATAAGTGACGATGCGCTGTCAGGGAGTCATACAATAATGATGGCTACATTAGTGAGGAGTAATACAATAATGATAGGCTACATAGTTGAGGAGCTCTGTCAGGAGTCATTCAATAATTATGGCTACATAAGTGAGGATGCGCTGTCAGGAGTCATACAATACAATAATGACACTGTCAGGAGTCATTCAATAATGTTGCTACATAAGTGAGGATACACTGTCAGGAGGTCATACAATAATGATGGCTACATAAGTGAGGATGCACTTCAGGAGTCATACAATAATGATGGCTACATAAGTGAGGATACACTGTCAGGAGTCATTCATAAATGATGGGCAATAATGAGGCTACAATAAGTGGTAGGATACACTGTCAGGAGTCATACAATAATGATGGCAGGAGTAACCATAAGTGAGGATACACTGTCAGGAGTCATTCAATAATGATGGCTACATAAGTGAGGATACACTTTCAGAGGTCATACAATACTGATGGCTACAGAAGTGAGGATGCCTGTCAGGAGTCATACAATAATGAATAGGAAAAAGAATATTAACAACATAGTAGTTTAATTTCAAACCCAACAACATTCCCCCCAGCAAACAGGGAAAACGGAGCCACGAGGACCCACGCTTATTTGAACACTCGAGTAGAGTCATGAAGACAGTAGGGGTCCACGCAGGTTTCGATCGCGGTACGTTTGGATTACGAGTCAGACACGCAACGCCTTAGCCACGGACGCCGCATCACAACATTTGGAACTGTATTAAAGGGTCGTGCGGCATTAGGAAGGTTGAGAATCACTGTTCTAGAAGAACACTGTTGACACAAGATTTTCCATGGTAAGGAATTGTTGCGATAGAAAAATCAACTGATAAGATGTTGTCGGAATAAGGCGATCTACCGACGTTAGCCGTAGGCTCTGTGGCTAAGTCGATGCGAACGCTTCATAATGCCGGGTTCGATCCAGATGCGGGCCTATGCGCCTTGCGTTTGCTTTCGACAGTGGTATCAAGAAAGCCGACTATCCATAAAGCAATGGCAAAGTACTGGACGTAATTTGCCTAGAAACGTCCACAACAACCAGGGGCTGTTGGGGTTGGTTCTGCAACGGCCTGTTAAAGGATAGGCAACTAACCTAACCGACGTATGCACGCTCGCAAGCGAAGGTGTTTGAGTTGTCATTTAGGGCGAATCAGATTGCCGGCTTCTATGAAGGGTATCGGAAAGTGTAAGCTAAAGTGAGGGGGGCGACATTAATTGCACGGGTTTTAGTCCCTATAGCTCAGCCTCTCTCCGCAGAACAGCTAGCTGCCTACCGAGAGTGTCGAACAGAGCACGACCTCCGTAGCTTCGGTGTCGGAAAGTGTGTTCACAAAAGGTTCCAGGGGTTCTGAAGCACACGTTTGTGCTGTCCAAAACCTACATAACCTCTCCGCGTTGATCATAGAAACATGTCCCCAACGAGGGGCCAGGCTAACGTTGATAGGGTCGACGTTTCCTTCCAAGTTCAAATTTATCTGCCTGATACGCGAGGAACCAACAGTTTGCACACATAAGAAAAGTCATCTTTAAAACGGATTTGCACGCAAAAAATTAAGTCCTTGAAAAAAATGCCTAAGTTCATAAAGTATCATGGAAAGATATTAAACCGTACGAAAAGTAGATCAGCGAGCTTCGCAGACGAAACGTGAACGCTGCGACTATTGAGCCTTCATCAGCACTTATATAAATCAAACAAAACCACACTAATATACAAAAATTACTTAACTGACGTATCCCGAAGCAGCCACGTTGATGTCTTGCCAGTGGAGTGAAAGATTTTACATGGGGCCTGAGAATAATAGACGGGGGAATGCCAAGGGCCGCAACTACTTTCACAAAGTCAGAAATGACCGAAAAAGAAGGACTTTAAAGCCGGTGAATGCGAAAACAAGAAGACATTTGTCTAATGCATCCATCCTGGCAGACCATCAGACCAGAAATAATGCAGGGGGTGAAGTTTGAACCATTGCTATGCTACGAAGCGGAGAGTGGACGAAATTGCGAGTAGTAGCAGGAGGTATCCTACACACTCCAATATCCTGGTGATCCCAGGTGTACGCTTGCTTCCTAGCAGATATTGTGCCACGCCTGTTAATATACCTGTGTAACAATGCCATTGCGACGGGGTTTATATGATCATACCACGTCATAAGCCGACTTTATGGTAACTGATATTCCAGTTTCCTCTGTATACCATAGTGTTGGAGCCATGGACACATAGCGGCCAGAGATTCTCGTCTACTACTCATAGAGCTACTTGGTCTCGAGGTATGGCATCCCTCTCGAGTGCTGGAGGTCCCGGGTTCAAACCAAGGTGAGGGCTGGGATTTTTACACGTGGACTTCTAGTAACTTTCCCTGGTCTCTGGGTAGACGAGTGAGATCGGACGAACGTGTGTATTGTTGCGCACGTAAAAAATACCTTGGCAGTTGGAAATCGAATAAAGTAGCCTAACGCAAAATTTGAAGTAAAGAATCTACCCAAAGTATTTCAGGATCCTCGCCGGTGCTACTGAGTTCGTGCACTGCGCTGAGATTCTTCAGACTCAGGCTTGAGTTAGAAGTAGAACGGAGCACTGATGGGTTCACACCCGTGCGCTATGATGTTGATCCGTCGACTAAACTAAACTCTGTCTACTAGCCCCGAGTTCACATCCGCACCAAAGCGAAATTTGTTTCCTCTTCTTGGCTGCCAGGTCGACCGAGCCTCAAGTGGGCATTATGTAATACCCTAGGTACGTACTTGTAACAAGACATCCCTTTGTGGGATGCAATTTTTTGTTATTTTGAAGCCCCAGCCTGGCTTTTGCCGGGGGCCCTAAATATAGCCGGGCCATAAGTGTGGCCTAGCAGCTGAACGGGGTTTCTGGGACCTTTCCACGGGTGATCCTCATCCGCGTGTTTGCACTTTGTGTC